TGTTTTTGCGGCCGTGCTATATGAGTTTTTGTTATAAGTATTAGGTAAACTAAAGGCCTGGTTTGTTTGTATAAATTGAATATTTTGTTTTTTTTTAGTTGTTTATTTTTCACTGAAAACAAAAAAAATCTAATCCCTTTTTATTTGTTTATCTCGATTTTTACGGAAGCTTTTATATTTATCTAAGATATTTTGCATTGTTTTTGCGGTAAGAAACACCCACAATTTTGTAAAGTGTAAACAAATAAAAGTGACATTTAATATCCTTGAAGTTGGCTTTTGATTTGACTTTTATGATAATAAGCTCACAATGTGTAAAAACACAAGGTTATTTTGAATGTGAAGCTCCAAAAGTTATTCCTTTGATGTTTTTAATGCCAAATGCTTCCTTGAAAGTTGTTTGCGTCTTCAGCAAATAGCGATAATTTTAAAAGTTAAAGAAATATTTGGTCTAATAAAAAGTAGTCCATGAATTTCGCAATAGACGGCTTTGGAAAAATGATATTTTGTACTCAAATGTTAATTACTTAACTCGGTACTGCTTGAGCACATGCCAAGGATGGACAGCAGCAAAGGCGAAGACGCAATTCGCAGCTGAAAGTTTGAATAGTGTCGATAAAACAATGGAAATCGGTGGGCCTGACCACCTAGAAATCTCTTGTGAGAGGGTAGGTTTGCGTGGTAAGAAAAATTTAAGGGAAATCTAATTTAGTTCAATTAACCTACTTTTATTTACTTTATTTTGCTTAAATATATATTATATTATGATTTTAATACCTGTGATAAAATTTTATATATTATTTATTTTTTATTAATTTCCCTTGACTTGTTTTATTTCATATTTTTATTTAATTTTTTGTTTTTATTCGATTTGTTTTGTTTTCTTTCAATTCATTTACTTCTTTCTTTATTTTGTTTCAGTTTATCTTATTTTATTTTCTTTTCACTTTGTTTTATTCTAAATTAAAATATTATATTTTTTTTTCTATTTTAATAGTTAATTTTCTTAGTGTTTTTGCAATTTTATTTTATTTCAAAAACTCAATTTTTTACTGTATTTTTATTTCTATGCGGTTGAGGAGCCCAAATCCTCCCCTCATGAAATCCAAAAACCAAAACAAACAACAAATAAAGCAGCTCATCAAACCTTGAAATTAGCAGTTATACGCGTACGTACGGATGACTCATTAAAAATCAGCTTGATATATGAGACCGTTTTATTACGATATATTTTATAAGCTCCACGACTTACATATGCATACAAATGTACATAAAAAATAAATTAACGGTATAAATGTAAGTGTATAAACAGGTGTGATTATGACATTGAGGGTAAATTTATGCCAAAGTATTGTAAATACACATGCAAACATATTTAATTCAGGACCTTCATAAACCTTGTGGGTCGCATGTGTAACAGGTGCCGCCGCGACAACAATAGAAAACTGAAAGAGAGAGGTTCCCTGTATGCTGAAACCTTTTTTTGTATTTTTAACGCATTTTTTTCTTTTTTTTTTGTTATATTTTATTACATTTTTTTTATTATAATGCCAGAATATGTATGTATGTAAGTTAATGTTGCGCTTGAATGTTGATGTGAAATATCGCCTGCGGCCTTTGGCCTTTCTTTTTGCATCCTGTCAATATTTTTTTTCGCTCTCTGCCGCCTTTTTATTTTCCAACACACATCCTGAATTATTCTGTTCTTCTCGTCCTGTCATTTCAAGCATGAAAATTGCGCAGCAACAAAATAATAGACATCTACGTTGTATCATAGCAGCTGCATAGGTGCGATGTACAATGTGTCCGCATGCACGCATGTACGTATGCATGTGTGTGCCGACTTATGCGGAGGCGCAAGACCGAATTTCAAAACTCATTAAGCAAAAAGAACAGTGGCGAGCGGAAGGCTTCGAGCCAAAATTCAACGGCAATCAAGCAGCAGTTAAGCAACCTTTATGACTGGGGTCACGTGAAAAGAAAAAAAAAATGAAAATAATTCAGAAATGAAGGAGAGACAGGAATGAGTGTATTGGATGTATGGCGCTCGAGCAAACTTTGCGTAAAAGCATTTCACATATCCAACCGAAATGTAGGCCGTTAGTGGGCAAAAGTGTCTCAGCCCACGCATACATATGCAGGCGCGCAGCTTACACATGTGCACATGTGCGTTGTAGCGGCCCGATACAGGCAACAGGAAGTGTGTTTTCTTTCGCTTTTTTTCTTTTTGTTTTTCTGCTTTTATTCCCGTTATTTTTCGTCTTCTTCATCGACAGCTGGCAAAGTTTTCCTATGCTTTGCTTTCCTACCCAGTTTTTGCAGTTTTTAATTAAACTTGATTATGCTTAAACTTCAGCGCACCAGCACACATACACACATACATTACCATATACGTGTATGTATCTATGAGCAACTTTGCATACTTCTCTAGGGTGTGGAAATTCCCATGCACATACTTCAGTAAATTTACTCCGCATGCTCGGCTTATCCAATTTATTATCTTTTCTCAGCTGAAGGGGCGCGCATATTTTCACGTTTAGCTTGTTGCGAAGAAAAATGAAGATTCTTAGGGTAGTAAATTTTATTTTTTTGTTTAATGTTTGCATTATGAAAATTACTACCACTTACAGCTCAACTCTTGCCTCTCTGCGAGAATGTTAAACACTGAAACTTTCTAAACTTAATTTGAAGTTGAATTATTTTAATTAACTGAGTAAGTTTAGTTTCTCATGTAAGCGTCGTAAACGCGCAGAAAGTTTTTGAAAAATATCTTGTTTAGGCATGCAACAGTAACTTTGGAGCATAACACCGGTTCAAAACCGGTTGGACTTTAAGTTCTATAAATGCGGTAAAACCTCGTCAATAAACTGGACGGCATTGTGAATATGAAAACGGAGTACTTGTAGTATGTAATCTTAAGCTGTATGGACGAGATTGCATCGGAGGTCCACTAGGAGGAAAAATTCAATAAGCATGTCACAAATTCGGTCGGAAATGGGCCCAGAGTTCACATAGCACCCTTTACATATTTGGTATGGTAAAAGAAAAGCATTATTTTTGCATTCAATTGAAGGTTTTTTCCACAGTTAGAATTATTCAATTATGCCACTCTCGTATAAACAGTAGTCCATATTGGCAACCAAGCTCTCGGAGCTTCTGATGATGTGTGTGGTCTGGCGTTGGCTTGATGAAACGCAATTCCCCTTCTGTTGCCCAAATTATGAGTTTGACCGTACGTAAGCTCTTTATAGAGAACCTATCCTTGCCAATCTCACAAACACACTACAAAACGTTCTTGGCCGGCAATCCTGTCTTGGAGATCGTTTGTGCCGCCATACTGCCCTTCGACCATAAGCGTCGCCAGTCATCATCCACTTCAGAAATGTATCAAATTTTGTTATGATATGGCAGCGATTCGTAGATGGAAATTCGGTCCTTGACTTTTTTCTCGTTAACTCATGTGGCACTCATAAATCGGGGTTCTTTGTGTGTTCAGCATTTTTCAAGTGGTTCCAAACTGCTTTTTGTCCAATGTTTAGCTCCTGGGCTGAAAATGACCACAACGAAAGCGAAATTTTCACAGGCCTCTCTTGAGGCCAACTTTTCATCATTAAGAGCGTTCGCCATGAACAGGAAAAGATGGCAATCACTTGATGCCGGGCCCGTCTATAAGGTAGGTGCATTAGGACCTCCCATCCGAGCTCCTGGAGCGTCTGGCGCGTCACCAAAGATGTGTGTGGCTTGGCGTTGGCCTGATAGAACACAATTCGGCCTCTGTTGATCAAAGATAACCCCTTCTGGATGAGTGCTGCCTTCAAGCGGTCCAATTGTTGGCAGTAGAAGGCCGAATTGAACCTTTCATCAGCTCGTAGTAGATGATTCCTTGCCAATCCCAGCAAACACACAGCAAAACCTGGTGTATCTTTGACATTGAAATTACCGGAACAGAACCTAGCAAACCACTTTTGTGCTACACGTTCGTTTACAGTATCTGGCCTATAAACTTAATTAATTTCTTCAGCCGCTTGGGCTGTTTTTTCGCCTTGATCGAAGGAAAATTGTAAAACATAGCGAATTCTCTCTCTGCTGGTGTCCTTCGTTGACGAGCGCTCTCAACGTACTGAGTCAATCAATCGAAAAACTGCCAAAGATAAACTTTTAGCGCGAATAAATACGTTTTCAGCGCCGTACAGTATAACTGACGCGGCACGTCACACTATGGACAATAACGCCATCTCTTAGATAAAACCCGAACTTTACGTTGCTTGACCTAATATTATGCATACTTAATTTCATTTGTTTATTTTATTTTAATAGATTTTATCTTTTTATATTTAATTTCTTTCCATTTTATTTTTTTTTTTTTAGTTTTTCATTTTAATGCATTTTTAACTTAATTTAGTTTATTTAATTTATATTACTTTCGTTTTAATAAATATGATTCAGTAGCGATGTTTTTGTTGTGATTGTAAATAAAAATCCACCTTACAATTGAAATTCCTGTTTTTATTTGTTTTTAATTAGTCCACCCGCTAAATGCCGGGGTGAATAATTTTATCGCTCAACCCGACATTTATAGCCGATAGAAAAGTCAACACAATTGTATTGTTGTATTTATTGGACTTTTTTGTTCTCGCTGGCCTCACACGCTTAGGCGCTTTCAATTATTCTGCGCGCTCTTCACCCGCTCGCACGCTCTCACTCTCTCTGTGTTTCGCCTACGATTAATTTCGCATAAAACGCATTTTCTTGTTGTTGTGGCTGCTAATTTGTTTATTGAAGCGTACTTTTCGCTCAAAAACAATATCGACGTCAGTTACAACAATATATAACAACAACAATAATAAAGACTCAATTTCATGATTATCAGGTGTTGACAGCTTAATGACTTCATCAGTAGCAACAAAAACAACTGATCAACAAAAGGAAGAATAGAACTAAGATATGTTGTATGCGGCGCTCCACGAAATACATAAATACGAGTACATAAAAAAAAGAAATGGAGAAGGAAAAACAAAGCAAACAACAAAAATGTATTTTTTTAGTTCAAAATCCAAATAAATAAATTCACCAAAGTGACCAGAACTTGTTAAGTTTGTAAGTTTAAAAATATATACGAGTATAAATGCGATACCAGCGCGCTCTCTGCACTTGACACTCGCTCATCGGGCTACATTCAGTTTAACGCTCCGTGCTCTCTATCATTTCTTTCAGAATACGTTGATTCTAAGGCTGCAACTACCCAACTCACTCTCCAGCCGTCCATAACTGACGACGTTAGTAGTGAAATACATACACGAGCTATCGACGCCGCTGAGAGCGGCGAAATGTTGCCAGCTGCCTGTGTGTTTGCACACTTTTGAACAAATTCATAATTTTCGTCAACGAATTTCATAATTTATTTGCTTTAACATAAACACAAGGCAAATATACATAATCTATATGGTAACAAATAATTAGTTACGCATTTATTTTTCATTTCTTTTGAACAAAACTACGCATTATTTTCGATTATTTAATGTTACTTTAAGAAAGGCTATACTGGCAACCTTGTATAGCAACGAAAAATGAGCCGAGCCGGTTTTACGGAAAAATCAAAACTTCGTTGGTTTCTGCGACACAAACGTCAGCAACGCTATGGTAAATCGGTGACAACTTTGTGTTTACATGGTGCTCTCATAAGATAGGTTACTATGGACGGCTGGTACGCTCGTTGGGTAGTTGCAGCCTAAGTTTTAGAACCACTCGCCCACTGCTCTCAGCGTTATCTCTTGCACCTGTGCATGTGGTGGCGTAGAGAGCGCATACATAACGGCGTTGGCGACATCGTCCGCCTGGAGTATAGCATCACCCAGCTGTGCTTTCGTCTCGTCCGGAACGATCTCAGTGGATACCCAACCGGGACTGATATTCTAAAAGTATATATAAATTGCATTGCTAGAAAATATAATCTGCGCTATTATAAGCTACCCTGACGCACGCAACCACTCACCGTCGTCTTCACCTTCGTCTTCAGTGTGATCAGCTCTTGTCGGCAAATCTCGTTCACAGCATTCAAAGCGAATTTCGTTGGTGTATAAATATTCAAACTGGGTTCCACCGGACCTGGATTGTAGCCGGGCAAACCCGCTGTGCTATTGATGAAAATCAAATGCCCCGGAAAGTTACGCTTACGCATGCTCTTTAAAGCATTTTGAAGACAATAAATCGAACCCATCAAATTCGTGCTGACCACAACGCCGATATCACTGAGCGGCATATCAATCAGATTGCCCTCACGCAATATGCCCGCATTGCTCACGAGTATGTCTGTGCCGCCCAGCGTCTGCTCGATCCAATCGAATGCGGCACTCACTTCGCATTCCTGCGACACATCGCATTGTTTGTAGTGGAAGCGTGTCTGTTGCTCGGCGGGCAGGGTTTGCTTGAGCTCCTCCATGCGGTGCGTGCGCCGCGCCAGGCCCACCACTTGTATGCCTGCGGCCACAATCAATTTGGCACAGGCCGCGCCAATGCCTGAGCTCGCACCGGTTACTACGGCAACGCGGTTTTGCCAGCGATTCATGTGCGAGGAGGGAAAGGAAAGTTCTCACAAATACTTTCACTTAGAAAAATTTAATTAAATTATGTTTGTAGAGAGTTGGGGCTCTGCTGTACGGAACGATACTCGCGCGTTGACTGCCGTAGATTGAATGAGAGGTCGGGCGTGTTGGGTTTATATTTAACAGGCGAGTTGTGCGTCAACTGATAAGCTGAGCTGTATGTGGCGATACTTGACTGGGTGTCGCACGAGTATCTGCAACAGTTTTATTTGTTTGTTTTAGAACTATTTAAAGTGCTTGGATTGTTTTACTGTTGGACGGTATAAGTTTGAGATTTTGTTGGTGCCATAAAGATGTTGTAGAAATACTTCAAAGTCACCAAAAGTTCAGACGAAGCGTATTCCAGTAACCGGGGATATTTAAAAGCCTAAATTTAAGTTAGTTTTTCTTCATTTTTATGTAAAAAACTAGAAGAACTCTCTTTCTCTCTCTCCTTATTATTATAAAAATAAAAATAATAAGAGAAAAAATAATATTAATAATAAGAGAATAATAAAAAATTAAAAATAGGTGAGAAATATAAAGAATTTTCCAAAAAAAGTTAATTAATGACTAAGCAACAAAAAATTAAATAAATGAATATATATTAACCCCTAAGTAAAAGTAAAAATTATTAAAAAAAAAATATAAAAAAAAACTGTAATAGAAAAAATATAATTGTAATAAAAAAACCAACAATAGGGGTGAAAAATAAAACTTATGACAACAAAATTAAAGATTAAGAAAAAAAAAAAATAAATAAAAACTGACAACTAAAAGTTATAATAATAAAATAATATAAAAAGAAAAACATAAAAAATTTAGTGAATTTTATGACAAAAATAGAATTAAATAAACAAAAAAGTAATTAAATAAAAATAAAACCCACTAAATAAAAGTTTTTAACAGTAATTAAGGAGTAAATTATTGAATAAAAAGAAATAAAAAATATGATTCCTATAATATAATCTAGCAATATAACAAAGGAATTTACAAAATTTCAAATTTAATAAATGTAGGAAAATATAAAATTGTGCAATTTAGTAAACAAACTTAGTAATGAAAAATAAAATATAAAATAAAAATCAATTAGGAAAAAAAAACAAAAAACTAATTAAGGGGACACCCGGGTTTGAACCGGGGACCTCTCGATCTGCAGTCGAATGCTCTACCACTGAGCTATATCCCCTCTTAGTAAATGTTGAGCAAAAACCCAACTAGAACAAAGTCACTTATGTGCAGATGTATGTATAGTGAGAGAACACACAAGCCATACAATTACATACACTAGTGGCAAACTTAAAAGTAACTAATGAAAGAATATTAGCTGTGTAAATGGCTGCGTACGAATTTGGAGATTATTCTAGTTAAATTTTCGTAGATATTAATTCATTTCTACCTGAAAAATTATTATTTGGTCAAATAGTATACAAATCCAATGAAATTTAGGCTACACAGTTGGATTGATTCATTTATATACATATACATACGAATGTATGTATGCATGGCTGCGCATACAATATGTGCCGTGTATGTAAATATACCCATAATCATCTTATGAGCAGACACAGTTCGTTTCACTTCGTAAATCACCGTGAGTGTACGTACCGAAGACAGTGTTGTTATTTCTTATGATGCAATAGACATAACGGTATTACATGGGGATGTAGCTCAGATGGTAGAGCGCTCGCTTAGCATGTGAGAGGTACGGGGATCGATGCCCCGCATCTCCAAATAATTTTTATTTTTTTTTATAAAATTTTACCTTAATCAAAAAGAGTAGAGAAATATTTTTTAAATAATTTTTTTAGGCAAAAAAGGTTTTATTAAAAATCTTAATAAAACTAAAAAAAAAAAAAAATTTCGGCAAAACAAAAATTTTACTTAAAAAAATAGGTAAGCATACATTTTATATTATTATTATTATATATTATATATATGTTATATTTTATTTTAAGTGTATACAAACATACATTAATTAATACAAAGTAACAGAACCAGCCTTGGGCCATCGGCTGATACGAATAGTTATTGAACTAAGGAAACATCTATTGTGAAGATTTTTGCTAAACAAGCCTCGCTGATTTCCCAAATCCTTGGAGGTCGATCACTGGATTGGCAAATAAAAGTCCCAATATTTGATGCTCAGTTTAATTAATTGTAAAGAATTCAATCAGCGTATGTATATTTATTACTCAATAAACTACGATTCAGGGTGCCCGATGACAACAACTTTTATTTACAACTTTTACAACCCTGTTCTTTGTATTTTAGTGGTGTTTTAACTATCGAATATTCTGCGGAGAAAAAACAGTTCAATATTTTATATTAAAGTTTAAAAAAAATTTAATTACGAAAAGTTAATTATTCATAATTGTCTGTTACATACATTACAATTTTCATAAAGTCTTAGTTAATAAAAAACAATTTAGAAAATAATATAAACATTTTTGGATATTTCAATTTTAAAACAATATCTTTGGGGTTTTATACCTAAAATGTAAAAAAAAGATCCTTTGGTTCAGTTATAGCTTAATTTTTTTTTTTTTTTGGAAACATAAATTTAATAAGATTGCATTTCAAAAATATCTTTGTAATTTTAAAGAGCGGTGGTTGGATGTAATACTTTCCAAACGCTGATTTTATTTCAAATTTCTAAGTAAATCCAATTTTTACATTAACTAACAATGATGTCCAAAAATCACCCACGTGAGTCACTTATTGGCTTGCAATGTTTCACTTTCCAATTTCATTTTGTATACAAGTAATTTGCGCCACACTATCGCAGTGGCAACGCTGCGCTATGTTGAATTTCATGTGCACTCAGGAGTCATGGTGAATTTAGGAAACATTTTCAATCGCTTGCTTGTTGGGTAAATAGTTGAATTAAGCAATGGAGCATTAATTTTCAAGCGGCTCAATGGTCTAGGGGTATGATTCTCGCTTTGGGTGCGAGAGGTCCCGGGTTCAAATCCCGGTTGAGCCCGAACATAATTTTTTAGTTTTTTTTCGTTTACATTATTTTATTTAATTTGTATGTATATGAGTATGAATTACAATAATAGGAGGATTTTGAAATAATGCTGTATACGCTCATATGTACATATGTAAGAGCTCTTTCATTCAATTGAATTAATTGTTTCTATACTTATTAAATCCAATTTCTATAACAACCCTTACATGTTGAATTTTACATATAATAAAATATTTTACAGTAAAAAGAAAAGGAATCTCTAAATATGAAATGTATACTTTCTCAATAAAAGTATAAAAATGTCCATTTAAATAAAATTCAATAATGGTAGAGAAAAATCCAAAAATGTAATTAGGGGACACCCGGGTTTGAACCGGGGACCTCTCGATCTGCAGTCGAATGCTCTACCACTGAGCTATATCCCCAATTGGCGCTCGGCTGGCAAAATGCCCAAAAAGCAACAACGCTTTGGGGATATTAAGTGGAACATTTCTTATACCCAGCGCAATATTAAAGCATGAAGAGAATTTTGAAAAATTGTAGACATTGAATAGGCATATTTTGAAATTCTATACAGCATATTTATTTCGTATAGGTAAATTAAAATTATTCAAATAAACTCGTATTTAAATTTGACATTAGTAAACGAAAAGGTCAAACCTTAAACTATTATTAATATAAAATTAAAATAGTAAGTATCAAATTTTTAATGTCTTTTATCAAATACTTCTAAACCCATTTTTTTTTTTAAATTGCCAAAAGTACATGTTAGTAAGGGCACATTGCCATATACATACATATGTATGTTTAATAAATACATATATGTAAATACATATGAGCGAAATCCTCAAAAATATTCGAACAAAATCTTGACCTCTAATGTAAATGTATGCAAGAAACATTCAGATCTTTATAAACCAACAGAATATTTTAATATTTTATTTATATAGTATTATATATGCAGATAAATGAAGATAGCCATAAACAGCCGCACGATTTGCTGCTCTCTTTACATAGTAATATATTTTAAGTTAGATTTTTTAGTTATTCTGAGTGTACCCAGAATAATAATATAAAAAAGAATAAATAAATAAAAATTAAAGAAAATAAAAATCAAAAATAAGACATTTTGTTTAATACTTAACTAAGTATTATTTTCAATTTTAAGACAAAAATTGGCAAATTAAAACAAAAAATGTACGATTTAAGTCGCACTCCGCCCTTCCTTTTGCATATGTTCTAAATATCTGCATAAGGCCCTCAGCGTAAAAGCAATGACAAAGTGTAAGATCTTCAAAAAATGAATAAACACATTTATAGGCTTTTATGTATGAGTACATATACATATGTGCATTCATATCTTATACATTTGTATATGTTAACATTTAAATAAACATTTATTTTCAAATTCATTTTTCGAAAGAATATTTATTAAATTATTGAAAAATTAAAATGATTCTTTCTAAAAAGTAAAGTTCTAAAAAACAAAAAATTCATTAAGGGGACACCCGGGTTTGAACCGGGGACCTCTCGATCTGCAGTCGAATGCTCTACCACTGAGCTATATCCCCACATAAACACCTTTGCGCTAACGCGTCACTTAAACACATTTTGCTTGTGTATTCGATGTTCCATTTCATTTCATTTCGGTGATTTCACTTTGTTCTTATTTGACTGTTTATTTGCATTTAGGTTTGTTTTCTGTGGTGAAAATGCGTCTTCAATTTAGCCACTTGAGACAATTTGAACATGTGAACATACAATCAACTAGACAAGCTTCATGTTTTTGGTAAATTTTTCTAGTTTTTTACAAAAAAATTACAAAATTCAAATTTTCAAATTTATTTAAAACATGTAAATTTAACAAAGAAGACCGCGACTTCGAGTAGCACTACAAACTGGATCTTTGTTTATAACGGTGATATTGTAATAATTAATTTTGGTTATTTAGTTCTCGACAGTAGTCGTTGAGTTATTATGAGATAAAACCAGCAGAAGTGACTAGTATAATGTTTGGCCGCCCAAGTATCGTTAAAATCCTAGCATGTCCCAGAGTCCCAATAAAGGGTGACCTGCACTTTGGCTTCTTACTACGCCAATCCTGGAGCCACGTAAGCGGCACTCTGTGTGTTGTTCCTTTAGATTGTTTGAA